GAGACTGAATGGCAATCAATAACAGTGGAGTAGTTGATACTAATCTTCAAACTGGTTGTTGTGCTCGATAACATATGCCTGATTATGTTCTTAATGATCCACTTCATCATGAGAAGTACTTGTGTAACATTCTTAATGTAGTATGTTCCTCAGGGATAGATATGTTTGCCCATAACTTCATTTCTCTCACCAACATGTTTGAATATCTGAAGCAACCGTGATTGATGTATCGTCTCAGAAGCAGATATCAGGGACTTTCACAAGGTTTCACACATACATAGGAAATGTTTTTTGAATCTGTTAACAAAATTGGCCTTTTTTCTTTACAAATGACGTCTACACCTATCGACAATATCAGTGTCATGTGATATGCATAGTGAAAGATAAGTGACGATGCACACAAGAGGTTCACGGTGTAACTCAAATTCCATCCTATCCTATCCATAATTGATTATTCACAATATGATAATTCCACGTCACCTGTAGATCATCAAATCTCCTTTGTCATAGCCCTTCGAGTGGTAACATCAATTCTAATCAGAAATAACCCATAGTGAATTCCCAGTTGTATTTGCATATCCATGTGGTCAACGAAACCATGTGGGTGGGATGTTTGAAATCACACATCCCAAATAGTCTTGTGAAATAATTTCCACAGATTCAGCGTGGAATCTCAAGTGAAATGGCCATCACGGCTCCGGTTAATTAAATGGCCGTAATTCTCTCTCTTGTCTCAGGTCAACACTGAATATCGTGTATCTTTCTAAAATGATTCAGTCTAGTTGATGAGTGGAATCACTGACCGACCGGAAAATTAGTCAGGAAGAAGATATGAAGTGTCAAGGTGAGACTACTTACAGAAATACAGAGATGAAGTTGTTAATGAATATGCGTAAACGCTTCTTCATATCATAATCCGATCCATTTTATTGCTGTGGTACTCGTTATGAACTGCGTAGAATTTATCCTACTTTATGTAACATGTAATAGTAATAATAATTTGCTTTATTCCAAAACAGTTCTTGCGATACAGAATGGAATTCTCAGCATTTTACTACAGTATTGCATCCAGTTAGTAAATTAACAATACAATAAAATTCTACATAGATTAAGGGGAATCACAGTTAGTTTTGACAACAACATATTAGCATGTCGGTAGCAAAGCCAAAATTAAACAGAGTGTTTGAAGGTGCTAGAAAAGTAGGTTCTAGCATATTTACTGGCGTAAGCAGAAGAAACAACAAAGCTGCACATAACAGAAAAAAAGAGAGAGAGAAAAGGAAAAGAAAGAAAGAAAACGTTGTACCTATAAATGATATGGGTTGGAAAGACGAGATCCAGTTGTTCTACTGACTATTTAATAAGTTAAAGGTTTCACGCCTAATGCTTTCTTTATCGCACAGAACACGAGCTAAGTAGGGTATGGTTGAGTTTTTGTACTTGCTGGTGCGAGCATATAGTTTTCCATATAGGCTTCTGATTATGCCTGATGAGATACAAGTGAAGAGTTGTGAATGAAGAGGGTGGTGGTGTGAGTTAGATAGAATGGATTTAGCCCATTTTTCACATGAGTCCAAGTACCTGTCAACCAGAATATTAACAAGCTGGTTATGTAGCACGTTGTTTACCCTGCTGACAACCTTTAACATCCTGCGTAATAAGGTATAGTCTTTCTTCAGTAGTCAGCCCTGGAAAAACTAAGGGGGAACAATAGAGAATAATAGGCAGAATGCGAGAGTTAACGAATCGTAAGAGTAAGGGTTGGGTTATTCCAGAATGTCTTAACTTCTTGATGTAGAAGGTAAGACGGAACATTTTCTTAGAAATCATCAAGATATGAGACGACCAGGAAAGATGAGCAGATAGAATGACAGCTAGGTATTTCATTTCCAACTTGGTCTCGATTTCACTGTTATCTATGTTGTACACCTCGTGTGAGTGCTAACCAGTTTGTTTAGGTCAGATTTATGCCTAAAGGTGAAATTGACTGTTTGGAATTTAGAGGGATTTAAGGTAAGACCGTTTTCCTTGGACCAATGGCTGATTTATGACAAAAAGCCATTTAGTTTTGAGCAGTCACTTTGACACTTGACAGGCAGAGATATAGTCAGATCGTCAGCATATTTAACAAAATTAATGTCATTTGAAGATGGTAGGTCATGCAGAAAGAAAGAAAAGAGAAGTGAGGAGAGTACAGCACCTTGATGGACACCAGCTGCAGTGAGCACAGCAGAGTAGGATTCACCTTTATATACAGTGTACCGCATTATGTCTGAGAAGTAGGAATGCAACCAGTTTGTGGCCCAGGACTCAGTTTGTGTCATTGAGAGCTTATTTAGCAAGAGACATTCAGGTACAGAGTCGAAAGCAGAAGTTAAGTCAAGGAACGTGCAGCGAACGTATTCGGCACCTTTATCTAATGATGAGACGATACTGTTGTGTAAGACGGCTGCAGCGTCTAAAGTGCTCCCATCCTCTCTATGTCATTTTATATGTTGTCAGGAATCCGTCCTCCAATTAGCATTGTTGTAAGATAGTCATGACCTCATATTTAGTCAAATTAGACAGTGAACGTATATCGGGGGTAAAACAAAATTAACATTCAACTTCACTCAGCCTCTCTCTATCTATCTCGTAGCAAAATTCTTCACTTTGGCCAAGAAGATATCAAGATATAAGGAAGTAAGGAATAAGGAATGCATCAATGACACATATGTATGCCCATAAATCACATATTAGCAAATAATATCAGCTTTCATAATGACTATTCCGATTTCGCACATGCCATTCTCAAGTTCATCTCTCTTAAAATATTCTCGTCCATCCATTGACTAATATGGATGTTAGCAGTAATAGAGACTTAAATAGATTCAGCAGACAGAATTACGAATCACTCTCTCATAAAGTCAGAAATCTTTAATGCTTCCAATGGCAGGAATGAATATCTGCCTACAACGTTATTCGAATGCTGAAATAGTAATCACTCAACACTCGGCTGAGTTTGGGAAGTATCTGATTCATATGTGATATATTTCGAAATAAAAATCAGTCTGATGTGAAATACCACTTGACTTCAAATACTCACTGGGATCTGCACAACCATAGATTGAAATTAACCAATTCTCAAGTATAGGTTTTGTAGGGATTTTGTTTGATTTCACGGATGATTTCATCATGAGCTGACATCAGTTAGAGAACCACTGGAAAACCTGCAGGGAGTACTGGACAGCTGGCTGCTTCGTCCTAGTCCAGGACTCTTCAGAAGTACGCACCCACCGCCACGGTTCGAACCCAGGACCTTTTGGTTACAAGGCGAGCTCGTATACCATTGAGCCACTGAGACCCGATCCAATGGACCTTGAAATCTAACTTCTGCCAATTCACGTACGACATAGTTCGACCATTTCGGAATGTCTCCTTCGATGAGTGAGTTACTGTCTCATCCTCAACCTACTATACCCTACTGGTCACGGCTCTCCACTAGAACCCCAGGTCAGTGTCTACCTGAATAGGGCCAGTCGTTAGTGAGCATCAGATTAATTTTCAAGTACTGGTTTTGTAGGGATTTTGTTTGATTGTATGAAAAATTTCGTCATGAGGCAGTAACTCATCGAAGAAGACATTGCCAAATGGTCTCGCTATGTCGTGCGTGAATTGGCAGAAGTTAGAATTCAAGGACCATTGGATCGGGTCTCAGTGGCTCAGTGGTCTACGCGCTCGCCTTGTAACCAGAAGGTCCTGGGTTGGAACCCCGGTGCAGTGATGCGTGCTGGTGAAGAGCCCTGAACTGGGACAAAACAGCTGTCCAGAACTCCCAGCTGGTTTTCCAATGGTTCTCTAACTGATGTCAGCTCATGATGAAATCCTCCATACAATTAACTATTTCATTGAAACTCGAATTCCACGTTCTCTGCACTTACTAATCCGCAACTGCTTGTTTATCAGCCTTTACGTTTCAATTGGAAAGCTGTCGATTTCTCACCCCTTCATATTTGAATATTCTCTACCATTTATTTGAATTGTAATGAATATGCCAAGCTGTAGTGTAACGGAGTAATCGTCAACAAAATCCCTCGACAACTATGTACTTTCAAAAATTAAACCTTTTTGGATGTTCAACGAACTTTGTAGGTATTATGCGGCTTTCTTCTCGATTATATATCATTGTTAGTACACATCTAATGGTCACTGCATCTTTTTTACTTGTCATTATGCCTGTTTAACCTCTATTGTTAATGCTTTCCTGTGTTCACACCACAACGAGTCAGCTTGGCTCTTTATACACTGGTTTATGGAAGTGCATTCTGCAGACATTTCAACATATTTAGGTATCACCCAGCATATCCTCATTCAACGGTATCTAAGTGTTGTCAGTGATGAGGAGGATAACTGTTATGACTATGCTAGATACTGGAATTAGTGACTAACATGTCACCCACCACTCATTCAATTCCAAATGGTGTGTGGTGACATGTTTAACGTGCTCTTGATCCATTTTGGTCAACGTTATCCGTGACCACCTCCTCCAAAGACATTGACTGAATCAGTTACATTTGAAGTGGAGTTCAATGACGCGTAAATGTCTACAGGCTTTTGTTTGCCAATAAAACAGTGTGGATCCAAACGCATCTTATACAGGGTTCATGTGTGTGTGTGTGTGAATAACACAAAAGACACTTTGTGCCATGAAAACATTCTCTCCTTCCCTCAGAAGTATCTGAAGCACACTCTATTAATAAAGAGACACAATCTGACAACAGCCACCTGATGACAAAGTTCACATTACCTACCACATACACAACAACAACAACAGACCACCGCAAAATCTTCCATCACAACCAGCAGCTGAATGAAGTTTGAATTCATGAAGAGAAAGCGGTGTACCAGACAAGTAATTTATTTTTATTTAAATCATAACGAAATATTTACGAAAGCTTCTACAATCTACATGTATTCAGTGTTACACGCCGACATTTTGACATTCATCCTGGTACTTGTCTTCAATTTTCTGTGTGAGAATAAAATCAGTTAGCATTATTATTGTTGAATAAAGTATACTAGTGTTGAAATAATCAAGAATGACTAATAGTGGTTGGTGGGAAGGAGGATGACTGTTGATGAACGGTGGGCTTATTCTCATACAATCCGAGAAAATTCTCAATATTTTCATCATTTTTCGGTGTATTTCGGTGAGTTGCTAAATTCAATAATTCATCATGGGTTGTGTGTGAATTTCACCAGCTTGATTGCATAGTCTCAGTGTGACATTTTTGAAATGTGCACACGGTCACCTAGAACACCACTCATAAGGCTTTCATCAATCGATTAAACCCGAGTATTATGGAGTGTATGTAATTCGAACCACACATTCGTCATTAATCAATATTTATTTGAGCGTTGGATAGCGAGCGAAATGATGGTCTGTCTCTAAGGTGAAAAAAAAAATTTATCTAAATGTTGCAGTGCATAACCGACTGAATCCAGTGAGTTTTTTGCTCTCCTCACTCATCATTCATCCTCCACTAAATCACACTTCGTTCGCTTCAAAAATTTGAGTCGCAACCACGGCATATTAACAAACCTTCGTATGATCAAAATACGGAAATATATAATGCAAAATAAATCTCACTTAGCAACATCTTCAGTTGGCTTTCGTACACATTTCTATTATCTAGAAATGATAAATAAAACAGATTGGGAAGTATTTGATGAATTGACTAGTGTAAAAATGATTATTGTGGTCGATTACTGAGTTCTTCGTCTGATAACTAACATAAGACTGGGGTTTACTATTCTCACAACCACACTACTCACTGCCTTTACATTGTTCTAGCATACAAAAAATTTCCGATTGGGGAGTTTAATCATACAGAGTAAAATGAACTCACAAGTTTCAATGGTAAATCGGTATTTGACTTGAAATAATTGATAAATATCTTTATTGAGTTGATCCAGATCTGAAATAATTCAAAGGGGGGGAATACGTGGAAGAATACACTTCAGAGGATCATACAATGTCATTTAAACTCTGAACGACGCGACATGAAATAACGCTGAATAGTCTGTTTTGCGCATCGATTCACAAACCCAACTCATCCACTTGCATGATGTTAAGAATACACCATGTCGAAACTGCAGTCTGAATATCAGTACTCAGTTTCATGTTCAACAAATTGTCTTCCAGTGTGTGTGTGTGTGTATGTGTTTTTCTATTGAAAATCACAATCGCATTTTTAGACGACTGACTACATCCAGAAGACTAAAGTTGTTCATCCTGCTTCACGCATTATTTCCTGACTCTTGGTAAATCCTCATCTCATTGACTATCGTACAATAAGAGGTGGATTTTCATGAATTCAAATCTTGATGAAGGTATTGTGACATGTGGAATATATATATATATATATATATATATATATATACCCACAGCATAGGTGTATGTGAAAATGCTGTTTATTTATTTCAGCAAAGAATGTGCAAAAAGAAAGGAACGAAAAACGAATACCTTCGTAACGCGCTGAAGGCAGATTTTCGAAACATTTGTCTGTGGGGAACGCCGCCTTCTTCTCTATTCATTGTTGAGTAAGAGTACAAAACACACAGTTTGATTATTTACTCAAACAAATTTACAATAGAGATACGTGACATGCATCGAAAATCGTTACTCCAAACACACACACACACACACAGATGAAACAATTCAGACTGGAGTTAGTGTAATAACAGGCTACTTACTCTGATATGCTGAGGCCTCTTGTTCGACACAGTTTTTTACATCGCCTAATTTCTCATTAGCATCTGTAAGTAAGTAAATTAGTTTCACACGTATCAATCAATCAATCCATGTCTATTGTTTTCAGTATAACTGAGTGCTCAAACAAATTTATGCATGTAAAAAACGCAAAAACACACCACCACCAAAATTCTGACGAATAAGAAGATATGTTTACTAGTTAACACAGATTATCAATGAATACTATCCGAAATAAGAAAGAAATACAGCAGTCAGGCATCTACTATTGTCAACACTTTCTCCTGTTCATCGATCGGTGCATGATGAAATTATTCATCTTGCAAATCCCCATTTAGTCATATGCAAAAGAGAAGACGTTCAGAAAAGAGACTCTTTTCGACGGCGAATTCATTCACATAGTTGTACAATCCATTTATATAGAATTATTTGTGTGTATACATGAGGTTTGTCAAGTTTAGATAATTGATCAGGTGATAAAAGAATGATCTAATATAGAAACAAGGCTAATTAGACAGCAACTAAAGTAGGATTGAGTTAGCAAATTAAGTTAGATGACGTAATATAATTGACTAAACTGTTTCAACTTAGGTCAGGTTAGTAACAGAGGTAATTACAGGTGGAGACTAAGTAGAAGTGGGGTAGATGATGATGATGCCATTTAAATTAGAACTGAAATTGAGCAAATAAGTAACATAACTGACGTAACATAAATGACTAGAAATTGAGCGTTGGTCAAGTCAGTAACAGTGGTAGTGAGGTGTAGAAATTAAATCGGGTGGGGGTAGAGAACAAGAGAGTTGAAAATGTAAAATATGACAATTGAAAAGACAAATTAATACTAATTAAGAGACAGAAGAGAAAAAAATTAGGTAGATTTTACCTGTCGGGTAATAAGATAGATTGCATCCATTGCAAGTGTAGTGATTGAACGAACTTCTTCTGTATGCAGAGTTCAGGGCTTGGCAAGTGAATCGCCATTGCTTCTGTAGTTTGAAGAAGTCTGATTTGTTCACCTTTAGGAAGACTACTTCTTACTCTGTAGAGGACTTTGAAGTTTGTTTGGGGTGTGGCTTGATGTCCGGATTCTATCAGATGTTCTAAGATGGAGCTGCGGGGAAATCGTTTTCCTCCTTTGAAAAACCATGTTGGTAAGTGCTCGGTGATACGTTTGGAAAGCCAACTCTGGCAACTTAGACTCTACCTGCAATTACCTCTGTTACTAACCTGACCTAAGTTGAAACAGTTTAGTCAATTATATTACGTCATCTAACTTAATTTGCTAACTCAATCCTACTTTAGTTGCTGTCTAATTAGCCTTGTTTCTATATTAGATCATTCTTTTATCACCTGATCAATTATCTAAACTTGACAAACCGCATGTACCCACACACACACACACACACACAAATAATTGTTTATAAATGGGATTGTACAGCTATGTGAATGAATTCGCCGTCGAAAAGAGTCTCTTTTCTGAACGTCTTCTCTTTTTCATAATTCTTCATCTTTATTTAATACAGTTAATAAATAAAAGGCAGAACTAAAATAGCACTAGGCAATAGTTGAGATGGTGAAGCGTGAATACAAATAAACCAGATGTGAAGATTGTTAGTCAAAATATTGACGAGAAATAATTATGACGTTAAGTAAGTACAGAAATTATTCAAAATGCTTAGCTTACCTCTAGGAAAATTTTGAAATATATCTGAGAAAGATAGGCAAAATTTAGGCATATACAGCAGCTCTGATCAATCAATTTTTTCGGTTAACAAACTTGCAAACAACGTTCATCACACTCCACAGTCGAATAGAATAGACAGACGTGTTAATTATTGAAATGATCGGTCGGTGAGAGAGATAGAGAGGGAGCAAATGAACAACTGACTGATTGATTGAATCACGAAACCAACTTCTCATTTATCAGACGAAAACTCAATTTAGTGAACATATTTCGTAAATAAAATTGATATTTTAATTGACACAAAAAATAGTTGCTACAACGTACTGGTGAATGCCGCTTGTCCCCAACTGTATGTGTATGCAGTTTCCAGACAGTCTGTATCTAAAATACGTCGTCCATTATTTCAACAAATTTCAAACTTGTTGCTTACACTTTTCTATTTCTCCTCGTAAGCTTGCATTTTGACTGAGAATCTTTTCTAGAAGAACAGAAAAGGATGAAAAGGGTTTAGTGTTTACAGCTTCTGGAGACATGGATTAAAATGCCCTAATAATAATAACGATGAGATGCTCACTGGCGACTTGCCCTATTCAGGCAGGCAGTGACCTGGGATTCTAGTGAGAAGTCGTGACCAGTAGGGTGAAGCCGGTCGGATATGAGGAAAGATACTTGCCGAAGACATTGGCTAGCGCCAGTGGCGCTATGTCGTGAATTGGCAGAAGTTAGAATTCATGAGCTGGCCGTTGGATCGGATCCTAGTGGCTTAATGGTATACGAGCTGGCTCGCCTTCTAACCAGAAGGTCCTGGGTTCGAATCGCGGGGGTGGGTGCGTGCTGATGAAGAGTCCTAAACTAGGGGGAAGCAGCCAGCTGTCCAGTACTCCCAGCTGGTTTTCCAGTGGTTCTCTAACTGATGTCAGCTCATGATGAAATCCTGAAACCAATCAAATCCCTACAAGCCAAAGCTTGAATATTAATAATAATAATAATAATCTGTTACATACTACATAACATGACTGATGTATTGCATTGATGTCATCATTGGTGGTAATTTCGAAAGACTAAATTCGAAGTTTGTTTTCGTCAGCGTAAAAAAATATTATCAACAATAAAGCTTTAGGTGTTTTATATACCTGTAAGATTTTGTACTCTGCCTTCTGCATTTTCCAGATCCGACATGATTCCTGGTATTTCTCCTGTGGGGAAACAAGAATATGAATGAATGAACTGTCATATGTTAAGTAAGAAAGGTCATTGGATGCAAGTGTGAATAATGCACATTGCAAATCGTTTCATTGAAGAAGAAGAAGACGTCTGAAGGAATGTCACTTGAGCCAAACTCAGCAAACCTCGGCCAGATATCTTCTGCACTGTTTCCATGCCAGTCATTCTCCACATTGTCTTCAGTGGTTTTATATCAATTTTTAAGTCATCATGGAAAACCATGACTGCAGCCGTCATTGTAAGACTTTTTCCATTCTTAAACTTTTGTCATGAAAAATTCTCACGAAAACTTGGGGGATCTGAACTTCTCTGATGATATATGTCTGATTTCCCACAAACTGGAAGATATGCAAATGAAAAGCAGCAACAAGTTGGCAGAACAAGCATCAAAGATAGGACTTCCTTCAGGTGAACATAGAGAAAACAGAGGTGATGAAGATTCCTGGCCAACACCAACAGCATCAACAACAACAGACAACAATCAGCCAGCATAAATGGGAGGAACCTGAAAGAAACAACCTCCTTTACCTACCAACATGGGTAGCGTCGTTTCAACTACAGGCGGAACTGACGAGGATATGAAAGCAGCGAGGATTGAGGAAGCAAGATAAGCTTTCATTACTCTCAAGTCTGTGTGGAGGTCAACAGCCCTACTCAGCATGAAAATGAAAATGAGATACGGATTTTCATCTCTAATGTGAAGTCAATCAGTGCTACTATACGGATCAGAGACTTGCACTGCGCGTCACAAAGAGCATCTCAAACAAACTACAGAACTTCATCAACTGCTAACTGTGTTTGCTCAATACCCTTGTCAAGATCAGATGGTTGGCCAAAAAAGATAAGCAACAGGGATCTCTGGCAATGAGCGAACCAACCCAGTAGGCACCGATTGTGAAACAAATAGGCAAGAAGAAATGGAGATGGATTGGCTGGCCATACTCTGAGAAAACAAAGCATCTAGTGACATCACTAGACAAGTCATTGCTCGGGTGGAACCCGAAAGGGAAGTTGCGATTCGGTCGTCAGTGTGAGGGGTGACTTGGAGGAGGTTATGTGAAGAGGAGATGAAAGCATGTGGGCAGGTGAAAACTTTAGCAGAGAACCGTAGGCAATGGAGACACGTGGCTGAAGCCCTATGTTCGTCTAGGAATTAAAGGAAATAATAATAATACATTCTCAAGTCGATTGATAAACTAAAATGATATTTTTTTATTTGGATAAAGTCTCACAGTGTTATGCAGTAATATTTGCTGAATGAAAAAGATGTAGAAATCGACAGCGAGTTTGATATTCGCAATGAAGCCGTCAGAGGTTGGTTAGTCTAAATAGTTTACTTCAATGACTTAAACTAATAATGCTAGTAGAATATGATGGTACGATTAAAATACATATTCAAGTGTTGGTTTGTAGGGATTTGATTGATTTCAGGATTTCATCATGAGCTGACAATAGTTAGAGAACCATTGGAAAACCTGGGAGTACTGGACAGCTGGGTTCCAGTGGGAAGTCATGACCAGTAGGGTGCAGCTGGTCGGTTGTGAGGACAAATACTCGCCACTGAAGACATTGGCTAGCGTTCGCGCTATGTCGTGAATTGGCAGAAGTTAGAATTCAAGGACCATTGGATCGGGTCCCAGTGGCTTAATGGTATACGAGCTCGCCTTGTAACCGAAGGTCCTGGGTTCGAATCCCGGTGGGTGCGTACTGCTGAAGAGTCCCAAACTAGGACGAAACATCAGTCCAGTACTCCCAGGTTTTCCAATGGTTCTCTAACTAATGTCAGCTCATGATGAAATCCTAAAATACATATTCCAGGTGACCTCATAAGAGCTAGAGTAGATTTCAGAAATACCCCCTACTTATGACTTATCAAAATACACTTAGCTCTAAATTCATGTCCCATTAGAAATAGTTCATACTCTAGACTAACTAACTAATTCATATGAGATTAAAAATAAACTAAATGATATTCAACTAGAGAATGATGACACAATGGTTAGTTTTGATATAACTAGTCTTTATACAAATAAACCAATCAATATGCTCGCCTTAGGAGCAGTTAAAAGAGAACGAACTGCAGATCCTGAACTCACTCATAGGACAAAGCTGTGCACTGAGGAAATTATTTTAGTAATTCAGCTATGCTCCCTCACATCTACTGTCTACAAATTCTACGGCGAAATATATAGACAAACAGATGGTTCAGCAATGAGATGGATCACCAATGTCCCTTGTTTTAGTAAATATACTTATGGACAGCTGGGAAGAAAGTGCTTGTAATACATTGAATCTTACTACAAAATACGGTGGAGATATGTGGATGACACTTTCATACACAGTGTTAAAAACAGAACATATCTCTCTCTAGCTTCTTGACACGTATAAACTCCCTAGTGAAGGAAATACTATTCATATTTGGATCGGAAAATGAACAAGACGAATTAGCTGTGAAGTTAGATTGTAAAATAAAATGAACAGAAGAAGGTGAACTGCACACTAACGTTGATAAAATGCCACCGCATTCTGCGAATAGATATTTAGACCGCTTCAATTCACTTCATACGTTCGTTGTCTGTACAGGCAGACTTAGTTATTATTTTTTTTTTGGTTACAGCTTGATTCCACAACGTATTTTTATTACAGATATGGAATTTTCAGCATGAGATATTGGTAGCCAAAATTTTGCAGGCCGACTATAGATATCAGGTGTGCGTCGGCAGCAGATCGAACCCCATACCATGTGCATGATCGGCGAGAGTGACAACCGCTGTACGACCAACAGTAGTAGTACTGAGTAGTACAAGAAAAGACCTAAATGATGAAGTAAAACCGATAGATGAAGCGTTGATGTCAAATAACTAACTATCCTATAAAATTCATTGGAGGAAATCAGGTAAGGTCAACATAGAAGTAATGGGGAAACTAATACTGAAAACATGAATACGGGAGAATATAAGGCGTTTACAGTTCTACCATACACAAAGGGGACATCTGGAACATCTCAGACATAGGATTCTAAATAAATCAAGAATTAAAGTGACATTTGAACCTACAATTTCACTCAAGTAGGACAAGCTCTCTAGGTTAAGTTAGAGGACTCTGTCGGTTGACCCAATTAGACAGAATAATATAATTTACAAAATACCCTGCAATGACTATGATTTAGGTCAACCATATTGGTCAAACTAGTGGATCGGGGCTAGTCAGTTTGTCAGAACATAAGAATTTAGTTAACGTTAGAATGGTTGAACCAATCCATGAAGATAAATAGCTTAGAAAACAGCTAAGCACTACATTGCACTGCGTGCATTAACAACGCACAACCACACAGTAGCATGGTGGGAGAGAGTTAAAATTCTAGAAAGTTATGTAGGTAGGTGGAGGGAGCTTGGTTACTGAATCGTTGCTCATAGAATCTACATTCAACAGTGCAACAGAAAATGATTCATCACTCATACCGGAATATAGAAAATACCGCTACTACCGATCAAGTCAAGCGATGAAAAATAGTGGAATTGTTTAAGCGAAGTTAGAAAGTCAAGTGAATACCTTGATATGAATATGAGTAATAAATTGTGCTCGGAAACTCATCAGTAAATATTACTCTATAACAACACTGTGAGACTATATCAAAATAAATTTTACCCATAATGAAACTATACTCTACCACCACAGTGCACAAGTTCTATTCTTGTATCAAGTCGATTGATAGATAAACTCAGGTGATATTTATTTGAAAAGTGCTTACTATTAACATTGGTAAGTCTCTCTGTAATTGTATTTACATTCGACGATTCGCCTTGAAATGAAATGAAGAAATGCAACCGACAATTATTATTATTATTATTATGCAGAGGAGGAGTTTCAGAATACTGCAAATTATCAGAACAATTTGTCTACTTAAAATACATCAAGCTGCTCTCGAGCGCCTTATGTATGTATGCCATTGCAGTGCACTGCAGAAACGCATCATCTCAAGCTATTTAAGTCTCAGGGGAATTCTAGACTGGTATATTCATTATCCTAATGAGAGAACATGTCACTCACTCACTCACTCCCTCACTGTGCAACCGTTAATAGACACAGTTTCTGAATCATAGTCAGGAGAACAGACAGACGCCTTCGCTATTACAACACTGCGCTGTTTACCATGTTGTATCAGGCAAGCTAGATGAATGTGATGAATATGAAAGCGTACGCGACAGCGACCATTCCGCACAGCCAAAGCTTAACGAGTGAGAATAGACCCCTTGGAGGGTAACTGGCGAAATAAATATTCAACAGTTCTAGTGAAAATAAGGCAAACATTTCGCAAGGATTAAGCCACAAATATACCATCTTTTGAAGAAAAACAGAGTGCTTACCTGAATTGATGGCTGTAAGTGCCAACAGGCTGATGAAGGCGATGTGGTTGTATGCGAAGTAGACCATCTTCTTCTTATGGTAACTGACTTTCCGTTCCCATATTTATACCCCAAGAAACAGTCACAGTTATTGTTGTTATTGGTTGATTACAAAATAATCATGATTTCATCGTTCATTTGTGGAAGACTGTGAGTGTTGTGATTGGTGTGTGTGTGTGTGAAACAACGTCTCATGATATCAGTCGGGTGAGTCATATAATTGATCGGCGGAATCTGATTGGTGTAATGAAATCTAACGATCTGCAGAAACACTTCAATCCGAATAATAGTAAGCAGAATTCATATGATGGCGTCCACATGTCTGTCTTTCTATCTATCTGTCTGTCTGTTTTCGACATAGAACTTTGCACCGATGTGCACCAGTTCAAGTCGCCACACTCCCTCCAAGTAGCACACAAAGCAACAGAAGAAAGTAGAACAAATGCATAATAGAGAAGACAGTAAACAGAGGTGTGAGACAAAGGAAGAGTAATAACGAAGAACAAAACAGTTTAATTGGAAATCATAAGTCACAAGGAGTGGATGCATCTGCACTAGCCATTGAGAACGATTTTGAGCCATCTCACCAATTGTTTCTAACCATTGGTTTTTATCGTCCCGAGGACCCGAATCAGTTAGGAAGTCTACACCTTCCTACATGGCTTAGACTAACTGTTGTGGATTTGATTGACTGGTGCCATGTTTTGGTTTGACCGCCTCTAGCTCGTTTCCGGCCTGACCCTATATCAGCTAACATTGCCCGTTGTCGAGGAAGGCGATGACTAGGTATACGTTAAACATGTCCTCACCATCTCAGTCGATGTAGCTTCACAGCCTCGTCGATTGATTTCCCCTCCTTACCTAGCACTCGACGCCTAACCTCAATATTGCTCACCTTATTATACCACTTCACATGGGAGATAGAGCACAGTCACCTATGATCAAAGACAGCTAATCTTTTCATGTCTTCCACTCTCAATGGCTGGGCCTTACAGTTGGCCATAATGGAGGACGGAGCGGATTGTTGAGCAGTACACACACCCTTTGATCGATAGCCGGATATCACGTATACTCCACAGACGGCGTAAACTGGCGTATGTGAAAATAGCCCTCTGTATCCGTTCTGAGATTTCGTCAGAGATCAACCTGTTGGCACTGGCTGATGTTACTTCCCAAATAAGTGAAGCGGTCAACGTGCTCTACCACTTCACTACCTATTTATAAACTAGGAGTCAGTGTACTCCAGTCCTGTAACATTATCTTGCATTTGGCGGGAGCTAATCGCATACCAAACATTCGTAGATTGCAGCGCAAGATGTTCAGAAGACTCCGCATTTTGTCAGCGTCTTCACCGAGGAGGGAGGACTATATCGTCTGCATATTCTAAGTCAACGAGATTATCCCCTGGTAGCAGGTCAATCCCTGTGTCTCTGAAATGAGTCCACATGCGAAAATCACACTCGCGATACATCATCACACTGCACAGTTAAATCTGACGAATATAAGAATATAAAAGTCAGTGCAGGCAACAAGTTCGAATGCGGTCAGATACTGTGTTGAGTGGGCTGGAAGTGTGAAATAGATTGACTCTTATTCCAAATATCATTTAATCGCAAGTGGAATATGCAATCATTAGGACTATGAGATACCGTGAGATAGATTAAACAAGTAAATGACCCGATTGTGAATTCGTAATTCACATATATCAAAGTTTCACGGGTAAGTAGTAGTATTCAGTGATGTGAAGGAGACGTGAATACTACAAAAATATAGAAACACAAACGGAGTAAACCGCATATAAATCCTAATCACGAAGGTCATGATGAAATATAGCCGTTATATGGTGACAAGTAATCAAATGATTGCACATGAAATATGAAAAATAGTTATAATGGTGATCAGAATACGCCTTTGGAATGATGTGAAGTTTACTAGGTGAGGAAGAGTAGGAAAGAGGTGAATATGCATATGAGATGACGGTATGCTATTCTCTTGTAAGCGTATTGGATGAATGTGGTGATTTTGAGCGAATTCTGACCTTTTGTTCTTTTCATGTACACGCTGCTCTGCAAAATCGCTAGAACCACCATTTTCTCACTGGACAGTTTTCAGATTCCAGACCGAGTGGGGAGACTCCATCGCAACAACGTCTATTTGTCTAAACGCCACATCTTTAACAATAAATAGGATCTCCACCCACCATTCGTTTCAATGGGAGTTACATTGGTAAACTGTGACAAGATATCTTACGATGACAGTTGTATTTGTTAAGTAAGTTCCTATCTTCACTGTTGTCAACAGAAGTGTACACCACTTTTACACCATTTCTGACTGCCTCTCAACAAAGAGCATCCACAAAAATCATTGACCATTCAACGCATAAATGATATAGTTAACTTTACGTTGATGGAACCGAACGTTGAAGAACTATCTACTCATAGATATTCACTAACCCATGAAGTCTTCAAGTATGAGTTATGAACTGAATGACTGGATTGTGTTCGGCATACTTTTCTCTTTTAGTAACTTCAGCGATTTAACAATCTGCCGCTCCATAGCTCCATTCAATTTTTCATTTACTGAGAAATGCCGTTCAAAAGTGGAAACAGTGAACAACTAGTGAGGCTTTCATTTCTTTGACATGGTTAAATTTATTCAGTGTCTGAATGTGAGGTCGAGTGGTTATATGGCTATCACCTCACTCGAAATACTCCATGGATTTTAAACCTCATTTGTGAGAATCATGTATATCTCCTGCTTGATATTTATTATTCTACTCAAAAACACCTCCACTTTGTTTCTGTCCGGTTCGCATTTAGTCGATAAACTGAGGTCTCCTCTCTGAACAAATGGCTGCCCATCTTTCTCTTTCTATCTGTCTCCCCTCTCTCTTTCTCCTATCTTTTCTATTTTTTCCAAATGACGGGTCCGAAGACGCTTGTGAGAATGGTCGTTTGCATAGATTACTCGCCTTCATTATTTACTACTGAGACATTTCAGTTACTTGCATTTCCATACTTATGACTTTCCTCTGAGCACTTATGCTCAACCCAGACAAATGTAATCCCCTGAAGGATATTTCATCTAACCAGCTACTTAAAGAGGGCAAGACGATCTCCTTCCACAGTTCGTCAATTCTTCCAGTCCTTGTATGCCCCACATAAATCTCACTGGTGTGGCGGTTAAAGGCTCTACTTGGTGGTGGTGGTGGTGGTGGTGAGCATTGAGAGCTGTCGGTTGGACATGTGGGTTTTCGCCAAGTCAACTCACTAATATTATTGTGAACAGACACGTGAACTAATAAAAAGAATTGGAGAATGCAGTCGTGTCAGAATGCGAGCACCCTCTCCATGAGCGAGCAACCCCTCCACACACTTTTCATACATAGAACTAGAGACGATTGTAAACCATTTTTTCCTGAAACAACATGATATAAACACCTCACGAAAGCTTAATTGTCACGCCCATGATGTGATGTGAAAACTGTTATTTGAAAATTTGTTTTGCTGAAATCTGTCCCTCTCTCAGTACAAATCGGTTGGCACTGCATCCACATACACAACAGAGTCGACGAATTCAAACCATCGTCGACTGACTGTCTCTTGAAAGGTATTCATTCGCGAATTCATTAAAACAGAAACATGGCGAATTATAGGGACCAAGATAGGCATAGACAACAAGACAAGGACATGCAGCCAGAAGCGAGTGATTGAATAAAGACAGTGTCTCATATGTAATGCGTGTGTATAGTAAATCAGTAGCACACAGTGCAGGAAATTAACCCATCCGACTGGTTCAACCACCAGTTTCACTGCTACTCAACACTCTACACAATATCGTGAATAAAGAACTCTTATTGTGTAAAATTACTTCTAAAATAGAATTAATTAATAACACTGACAAATTTTCATTAAACAAACAACGCATGAACTTGACCTTCAATCACGCAAATAATTCCTCCCTACGTAAATTCTTTCATCGTACGATATGAAGCAACTGGCGTGCGTTATTTGTATGTGTGGGCTGGTGATCATTGATTATGATCACTATTGAGGAGAATGGCTACTTTCTAAAAATATCTACACTTCCACTGTTTATACTCACACTTTCAGAATATCAACGATATGATTGAAAAAAGACGAAATTCAGTTGACTTAATGTAATCAATCGATGTGGAGTTCTATACACCGATGACGACGATCATTTTGATTGTAGAGAAAAGTCGATTCCGTCTCAAATGAACCAATTCACTCATCCTGATGACGATTATCACAGATGGTTTCGGTTGCTTCTCGGTTGCGCTTGCCTCTTTACTCTTTTTGAATTTCCAGACGGAGTGAAAAGCATTCTCCACAAAGACGAATCTGCAGAGTATTTTGAAGAAGACGCTTCAAAATATCAGATCGTGTGAGACGTTGGGTATTCTTTATCTAGACATTCATTCCACGAAACCAGTGTAGTGTAACATCTCAGAAGGATTGAGGGCGACCAACAAGCTCAACTGGGTAGCACCAATACAACACGATACAATACACATCTCATTACACAATCCACATTAGACGGAGTTTACTCGTTCATGAAATCTTAGTGTTGATGCCCGTAGTATCCTCGTTGATTGTTTCATTTAAGTTACCGCACACTGAGACATTTATTCAACTTCTATATTACGAATGCATTTGCCGCCTTCCAATATTCAATCCGTATGGAGAAATATGCCTTTCAGTAGTCACGTGTTAGTCAGTTGAAGCAGTGTGTAGGTAATTCACTTCAGGGTTTTAGAATCACGTAGTCTACATGGCCAGATACTTCTCTTTCGACCACAATGGTAAACGTGAAACATGTTTATGACGATGTATTCCTCGTTTATACAGAAAGACCAGTGGATCAGCGAAGAGTTTATTTCCGGTGAATTCATTTTCAAAGCTGTACAGTCACAAATTTATGCGTCCCTACTTTGTATGTGTGTGGACGTTTAACTTGAAACAAGTGGTGATTCAGCGAAGAGACCCTTTTTTCAACGAATCTATT